CCCCCCCCCCCCCCTCTCTCTCTCTCTCTCTCTCTCTCTCTCTCTCTCTCTCTCTCTCGCTCTCTCGCTCTTTCTCCCTCTCATTCTTTTTCACTTCGCCTCTTCCTTTTGCTTACTCATTCGATACGCGCTTTATACGGTGAATCGATATTATGCATATTCCAGCAACGATACAATCCGCACCAATGTCCCCTGATATCGCGGATTCTTGGAATCGGTCGCAAACGGTAGCGAGCGACCGCCAGTGCGGACGAACACTACCGCGAAATCTCGTCGTTTATTAATCTGTCTCTTAATATCCATCTCTCGCCTGCCGGCTGGCGAAGTTCGTCATAATTAATAAGCGTGGAACGGGCTTTGAAGAATGGTCAAGGATTCCACTGTACCGCCGTTTGCACAGCTCGCTACACACAATGGGTATTAAAATTCTAATCGTTTCTGTGATAACGCCGCGTCTCCGTCATCGTCGATAAACGCGAGAGTATTGTCGAGTGTAATCGCGAATTACTGTACTGCACGCGTGTAAACGTAATTGACAGAGCGGTGAATATTAATAGCTCCACGCTTATTAATATTTCTCGAGTCGCGCTCATCTCTTACCCTCACTTCGATTCCCTTTATGGATTCTTCTTAGCGGAGATTCATAAAATGTCTCTGGATTTAAATATCTGAATGCAACATATTAAGAACTCGTCTCATTCCATCGTGCGCATTGATGGTCAATTTTCTTCAATTAACCCGTAACAGGTACCATGGGGTCCCAGGGACCCCAACTAATTTTATTTTCGTGATAATTCCTAAACTATCCACTGTATGGCGCTAATATCTTCAGTACCTTTCGAGTAACAGTTTTCAGAGTGACAGAAGAAAAAGATCATCGAGTTATTTGTAAGTAGCTGTGAATTATATGCATTTGTTTTTCATCTGAGGTCACAGTGACCCCATTGTACCGTTAACGTTACTTTTATGAAAATAATTTTCTTAATCTTCAACTCAATATGACTTATTCTTCACGCAAAAGAGTAAAGCTCTTGCTTTACAGTTAATAGAACCTGAACTTAAGAGACGTCTTACAACTCAATATATTCACAAGCCATTGCGTTTAATAATTTCATCTATTTTAAAAATTGAAAAAACTAAAAGATCTAAAATTATTTTGCCATCCAGAGTAAGATGTAATAAATGTCCTAGCAGTAAAGATATGAAGTCCAAAGAAGTATATGTTAGATGCAATGAACCAATATGCACCAAATATGCAAGCACTATCTGTAACGGTTGCAAAAAACCCTCTAAGATTTAAAAATTGTATTTAATTAAACAATACTTGTTTATATTTTTTATATAATCTATAATTTGTGGATTTAGATTAAAACATAAATTTTTGTCTTCTTCCGATTATTTGCCTTTCAGTGTATTTTTTTTTCAACCCTGTCCACATTGTGTTCATTTTATAATCAATTAACGTTTTCTTTTAGATTATTGAAAAACTGAGACTGTTATTACATATGTCTAGTTGTAATATAATATTCGTAAAGTGTCATTTTCGAACTATAAAACATTTTTCTTTCTACCTTTTATTATCTTAAACCTTTCTACCTTTTATTATGTTAAAAATGGCAAAAATTTATGAGTCCGCCGGATCTCATTGTACCTATAGCTTGACTAAAAAGGCATGATACTTGTTACGGGTTAAGATCTGAAAAGTTATCGGTGGTTGTTTGTAAATTAGTGAAGGATTTTTATATGATGAACACGCAAGTTCTACCTCAGATATTTAAATTCAGACATTCTATGTAACTGAATAAAAGTAACGTTTCAGTCATTATCATTTTGCTTTTTTTCAAATTACTCTGTATATCCAATAAAAAAACATAAACCGGATTCTGCATTACAAACTCAAACCAGGTTTCCCAATGACTTCTAAAGAAGATAAATTAATCTCCACCAACGCAAATACAAAAACCAATGTCTCTCGTGACTTATGCTGTTTGATTTTTACTTCACAGAAAAACTGTCTCATGTCTGTCGGAAATACAGCAATTTCCTTTCTCCAACAGTTTTCGTTTCAAGTCGCTACGACGTCTACAAGTGGAGTTGTTGACGTTTATATCGATCCGCGCTCTCGATCGATCGGCGTTACTGTCATGGGGTAGGTCGTGTCGCGTCAGTGGAAATAATAGCCGCGTTCCACACTCATTGTTTCCAGGAAGCCACCTGACTCAGTACGTGATGACACATAGCGAGCGCGGCTCGATACCCCCACTTTGCTCTCACGCGACCATGTGGTCGTTCGCCTTATTTTAGAAGAGTATAGCAAGAAAACAAACAGTACGCTGGGAGCAAGTGTCAGCGTCACACAGGCGCGAAGACCGAGTCCAAACACCTGCCGATGCTGCGGCTTCAAACGACTGTAACTTGTTAACGAGTCGACATAACGACATGAAATAAAAAACAATCTCTTTGATACGTGTCTATGACGCTCTTTCATTGCTCATTTGAAAGAGTAAAGTGTCGTGTTCGATTAAAGCACGATAGATATATTTACACGAGCAATACGCAGCTTCTCTCATTTGTGATCGTATCGTTCACATTTCTTCCTTTGTCTCGTCGTGTCTTGTCATCGTGACAGTGATGAAATTAATATTGTTATAGTGAAATGAAATAAATAAATAAACAATTGTAGTTTTAAAGGAATAATTTTGTGATATTAAAAGATATTAAGTGTTACAAAGAGGTTGTGAAAAGGTACACACAAAATTTGTTGTTTTACATGTCTATTGATTATATAAGACGATTTATAGGTGCCCGTGTGTGTAGATAGAATTCATTAAATTTAATAGAGAAAAATCCTCTATTAATTTGCAAATAACCACAATACTTTTTGAGATCTTAATGAAAGAAAATGGGTCAATTAATTGCGCATAATGCGGTGATACACACGACGTCATAGTTACCTTAACATGCACTATATCGAGAAACTTTCCGATATTCTGGATAGGTATTTTGAGAGATATTCTGGATATATTGGTTTCTAAAAATTCGTTTCTAAATTATCCGAGGAAACGGCAACGATGTTTTAACAAGTGAGTTTCTGAGAAGCTCGGAGAACTTATCGTTTGCCAAATTAGAAAACCTGCTAACAAATTTTTGATGAAATTGAGATACTTATTTCGTCCGACTTGTCTCGAGATTTTGTATCGTTTGAAAAAGCTTTTCTCAATTTTATCAAAAGTTGGCGTTAAGAGGTTCTCTAATTTGGCAGACAATAAGCTGTCAGAGACTCACTCGTTGCCGTTTCCTCGGATAGTCATGGTATACGCATTTCTAAAAACGAATGTATTTGCTCCAGAATATCTAGTAACTCTCGATCTAGTAAATTAAGGGGATGCTGAAGCTGACTTTATGGACGGAATACAGACATAAAAAAAAAATTACAAGCTCTTAAGACTTCATCAAAAAAACAAAGAATAAAGCAAATAAGAGCGAACTGCCGATCTTAATAGCAAAAATCATGCTTTGCTAATCTTCATATACGTGCCTATTTTATTTGTATCACCAAATTCGTTTGAGTTTCGCAGTTTGACTGTTAGTAACTGCAAG